CCCATCCTCCCATCTTCCCATCCTCCCATCCTGCCATCCTGCAACCCTGCCATCCTGCCATCCTGCTGCCCCACCATCCTCCGATCTTGCCATTCTGCCATCCTGTCACCCTCCCATCCTGCCATCCCACCACCCGACTATCCGACCATCCTCCCATCCCACCACCTGACCATCGTGCCATCCTTTTGTCCCCCCACCGACCATCCGACCATCCTCCCATCCCACCACCCGACCATCCTCCCATCATCACATCCTCTACAGATTGCGGGGCTTCGACGCGACACCCCATCATCTCATGGTCCGACTTCGACGCGACACCCCACCATCCGATGGTCAGGCTTCAACGCGACACCCCACCATACGATAGTCTAGCTCCATTGCTCCACCCGACCGTCGTGCCGTCATGCCATCCCACCACCCGACCATCCGACCATTCTCCCATCCCACCACCCTCCCATCCTCCCATCCCCCCATTCACGCATCTTGCCATCCTCCCATCCTCCCATCCTCCTATCCTCTCATCTTCCCATCCTCCCATCCTACCATCCTGCAACCCTGCCATCCTGGCATCCTGCTGCCCTACCATCCTCCGATCTTGCCATTCCGCCGTCCTGCCACCCTCCCATCCTGCCATCCCACCACCCGACCATCCGACCATCCTCCCATCCCACCACCCGACCGTCGTGCCGTCCTGCCGTCCCACCACCGACCATCCCGCCATCCTCCCATCCCACCACCCGACCATCCTCCCATCATCCCATCATCACGTCCTCCCATCCGACCATCCGACCGTCGTGCCGTCCTGCCATCCCACCACCCGACCATCCTCCGATCATCACATCCTCCCATTCGACCATCCGACCGTCGTGCCGTCCTCTCATCCCACCACCCGACCATCCGACCATCCTCCCATCCCACCACCTTCCCATCCCCCCATCCCCCCATCTTGCCATCCTCCCATCCTCCCATCCTCCCATCCTCCCATCCTCCCATCCTCCCATCCTCCCATCTTCCCATCCTCCTATCCTCCCATCCTCCCATCTTCGCATCCTCCCATCCTGCCATCTTGCAACCCTGCCATCCTGCCATCCTGCTGCCCCACCATCCTTCGATCTTGCCATTCCGCCATCCTCCCACCCTCGCATCCTGCTATCCCACCACCCGACCATCCGACCATCCTTCCATCCCACCACCCGACGGTCGTGCCGTCCTGCCGTCCCACCACCGACCATCCGACCATCCCCCCATCCCGCCACCCGACTGCCTCCCATCCTCCCATCCTCCCATCCTCCCATCCTCCCATCCTCCCATCCGACCGTCGTGCCGTCCTGCCATCCCACCACCCGACCATCCTCCCATCATCACATCCTCCCATTCGACCATCCAACTGTCGTGCCATCCTCCCATCCCACCACCCGACCGTCGTGCCGTCCTGCCATCCCACCACCCGACCATCCGACCATCCTCCCATCCCACCACCTACCCATCCCCCCGTCCCCCCATCCTGCCATCCTCCCATCCTCCCATCCTCCCATCCTCCCATCCTCCCATCTTCCCATCCTCCCATCCTCCCATCCTCCCATCTTTCCATCCTCCCATCCTGCCATCCTGCAACCCTGCCATCCTGCCATCCTGCTGCCCCACCATCCTCCAATCTTGCCATTCCGCCATCCTGCCAGTCTCCCATCCTGCCATCCCACCACCCGACCATCCGACCATCCTCCCATCCCAGCACCCGACCGTCGTGCTGTCCTGCCGTCCCACCACCGACCATCCGACCATCCTCCCATCCCACCACCCGACCATCCTCCCATCATCACATCCTCTACAGATTGTGGGGCTTCGTCGCGACACCCCATCATCTCATGGTGCGGCTTCGACGCTACGCCCCAGCATCTGATGGTCGGGCTTCAACGCGATACCCCACCATACGATGGTCTAGCTCCACCACTCCACCCGACCGTCGTGCCGTCCTGCCATCCCACCACCCGACGATCCGACCATCCTCCCATCCCACCACCCTCCCATCCCCCCATCCCCCCATCCACCCATCCTGCCATCCTCCCATCCTCCCATCTTCCAATCCTCCCATCCTGCCATCCTGCAACCCTGTCATCCTACCATCCTACTGCCCTACCATCCTCCGATCTTGCCATTCCGCCATCCTGCCACCCTCCCATCCTGCCATCCCACCACCCGACCACCCGACAATCCTCCCATCCCACCACCTGACCGTCGTGCCGTCCTGCCGTCCCACCACCTACCATCCGGCCATCCTCCCATCCCACCACCCGACCATCCTCCCATCACCACATCCTCCCATCCGACCATCCGACCGTTGTGTCGTGCTGCCATCCCACTACCCGACCATCCTCCCATCATCACATCCTCCCATCCTCCCATCCGACCGTCGTGCCATCCTCCCATCCCACCACCCGACCATCCAACCATCCTCCCATCCCACCACCCTCCCATCCCCCCATCCCCCCATCCTTCCATCCTCCCATCCTCCCATCCTCCCATCCTCCCATCCTCCCATCCTCCCATCCTCCCATCCTCCCATCCTCCCATCTTCCCATCCTCCCATCCTGCCATCCTGCAACCCTGCCATCCTGCCATCCTGCTGCC